CACCCGTGCACTTGCGTGCTCTCTAAAATAAATAAATAAATCTTAAAAAATATAAATATGCTCCCAAAGGAATATTTCTTTCAGAACATTTTGGTAATAGCAAAATAAGCTATAAACAATTTAAATTTCCATCAGTGGGAGACACTTATGGATTAGCCATACAATGAAATATATTGTGGAGTGGTTTCTTTTTTTACCATATATGTAATTTTTTTTAATTAAAAAATGTTTATGAAGTTAACCTAGGTCACAGGGTAATTAACCCATTTTTATTTTCTGACTTAAAAAAACTCTATTTATAAAACAAAATAGAAAAACCTGCAACTGGTTTGGGGCAAGCCAAATTCCAGACATGCAGTCTGAAGATTTCATCTGAATGACTTTGCCATCTGCTATGTTGTGTGATGATTTGGGGTATGACATACCATTTCTTTGGACCTCAGTGTTTTCATTTGTAAAATGGGGAGAATATTCCTATTCTGTATTGTGATTTTGGGTGAGTCATTTTACTTTCTGAGACTTGGGCTTTTTATTTATAAGATATGGATAATAATTTACTCACTTTACAAGACTGCTGTGAGGAATAAATAAAATAATGCTTGTAAAGCATTTAACATAGCATCTAAGTAGGAGGTGCCTAAGATGATGGTGATGATGTGATGATGATGATAATGATGATGATGGTGATAGTGATGATCATGATGATCATGATGGTGATGGTGGTGATGGCAATGATCAGGTTGATCATTATAGTGATGGTGATGATGGTGATAGTGATGATGATGATCATGATCATGATCATGATGGTGATGGTGATAGTGGTGATGGTGGTGATGGTGGTGATGATGATGGTGATGATGGTGATGGTGATGATGGTGGTGATGATGGTGGTGATGATGATGGTGATGATGGTGATGGTGATGATGGTGATGGTAATGATGGTGATAGTGATGATCATGATGATCACGATGGTGATGGTGGTGATGGTGATGATCATGTTGATCATTACAGTGATGATGATGATGATGATGATGATGGTGATGGTGATGGTGATGGTGATGGTGGTGATGGTGATGATGATGGTGATGATTGTGATGATGATGGTGGTGATGATGATGATGGTGATGACGGTGATGATGATGGTGATGATGGTGATGATGGTGGTGGTACTGGTGGTGGTAGAAGAAGAGGAAAAGAAGGAAGACTGGGAGCAGAGGAGGGACCAAGATGGGGAGAATGAAAAGAAGGAGGAAAGGAAGGAGCAGCTGGAGGCCACTATGTGTGGGTAATTTACATTCCTTAGCTCATGCAGTTGTTCTAGTTATGCTCTGAGGTCTACACCTAGGGCGACCACGCGTGCATTTATGACCAAGGAGATGTAGGTCAGAATTATGACTCATCTGAGGTCACCCTCTAGGCAATAGTCGAGCCAGCATTTGCCTTGTAATTTTTTTCTTGATACAAAGCCAACATTCGGGAGCACCTGGGTGGCTCAGTAGGTTAAGTTGCCTTCGGCTCAGGTCATGATCCCAGGGTCCTGGAATTGAGTCCCACATCGGCTCCCTGCTTGGCGGGAAGCCTGCTTCTCCCTCTCCCACTCCCCCTGCTTGTGTTCCCTCTCTCACTATGTCTCTCTCTGTCAAATAAATAAATAAAATCTTTAAAAAACAAACAAACAAAAAAACAAAGCCAACATTCAAACACGCAACCTTGAAGATCTTTTTGGTTCCAAGCCTCCCCATAGCACCCAGCACAGTGCTTGGCACATAGGAGGTGATCGATAAATGTTATATAAATCAGAATTTATTTCTAAAAAGTATTGTTATCTCTCTAAGTTATGCTTTAGGAGTTGTTCCAAGGCCCGTGGGTCATTTCTTTGCAAGTCCAAGTGGTGAAGATTTCTTCCTTCCAGAATGTGCTGGTTATTAAGCTATCACCTCAGCCCAAAACCCACCCTTTCCTGTGATTCACTCTGTGGCACAGGGCCTGGGACCCTGCAAACCCATTTCTGTGCAGCCAGCTGCTGCCTCTGTGGCGAGTGGGCGCTAGAGAGAGACTGCAAGGTTGGAGGGGGAAGTGGGCCTTGCTCTTTTCCTTTTGGTTGCAATTCTCCTGAGCTGCATAAGCCTCACTTTTTCACCTTAGCAATGGCCCTGCATCTTGGTGGCAGCACTTGGTAACCACCTTCAATTTTTTCCAACACCCCCCAAAACCCATTGCATTCCCTCAATGCAAAGGGTAGTGTCACCTCCTCAAGAGGTCCAGATCCCAGATCTGTGGGGTCCCCTCTCTGAACTTCTAGGTTCTAACACCTATCCGAACAATTCCCTATAGCAAATTCTCTCTGTTAAAATAACTAATGTGCTTTCTTATTTGGGACTGGACCCTGGCTGATGCACAAGGTAAATTTGATTTTGGACTGTAACTACTGTTGGACCCAGGTCTTGGAAAAAAAAGAAGAAGAAGAAAAGGAAGAAGAAGAAGAAGGAGAAGGAGAAGGAGAAGGAGAAGGAGAAGGAGAAGAAGAAGAAGAAGAAGAAGAAGAAGAAGAAGAAGAAGAAGAAGAAGAAGAAGAAGGAGAAGAAAGAAGAATCAGGTTGTCTGATTTTTCCATTTTACATCAGAAATAAGGCTTCACGATGAAAAAATGAGATGGATGTTCTCATATGACTTACTGAGCTCTCTCCCACATCTTGGTTTTGGTTTTCTATTTTTACAACCTTGACAGGCAAGGGTGTGAGCATAATGAGCCTGGGAAGTCCAGTGTCCCAGTAGGCAATGGCCAGACCTCCCCTGGAGTCTGGATTTGACCCCTGCCAGCACCCTCCCCTCTGGCCTCAAGGACTGGGAAGGGGTCACTGCCATCCTTTTAATGTTCCCAATCGAGGCCCTGAACTCTTTCCTGCATTTATCCTTTGAGCAGTGGCATCAACCTGAAACTGTCAAAAGACTTTTAACTTTTAAAACCTAAGGGAGGACAGCTGAGAAGTAAACACAAAGAGGGCATGAGTTAAAGCAAGCCTGGCATAGCTCACCATCTAGAGTTCGGAACTTGCTTGCAGCCTGCCCCTCAAGAAAATCCAGAGAAAGGTTGTTTTTCCTCATTAACGAGCTCTTGGATGGTGTCCCCAGAGCCAGTGTCATTTGCCACCCACATCCAGGGATGTGATGAGGATGCTAATAATGGTAAGTTCATGTATTAACTCACTTAACCACCCTATGAGACAGATGCTATTCTTAGCCCCAACTGACAGATGACAAAACTGAGCCACAGAGAGGCTAAGTAACTTTCCCCATGTCACTCTGCTGGTATGTAGCAATCTGGGGTATGGATGCAAAGAGTCTAGATCCAGAGCCCCCCTCCTAGCCAAACTTCCAGTTCTTTTCTCTGGGATGTCCCTCTTTTCTGGGCAGGTCACTGTGCAGGGGCATGGCCTCACTCTTGCAAACTGCCATCGACTAAGAGCTTACCTCTTCACAAGGCAGCCTAGATTGTTGGAAAACTCCTCATATTGGGCTGGCATTTCCTTCTAGTCTCTTCCACCTTTTGTTCTTGGGATTTCCTTTTAAAGACACATAGAACGAATGAATCTACGTGTCACATAGAGTGAATCTATGTGTCTTTAAAACCAACATGAGTCTCTTTCTGAGTTTTCTCCTGTCACATTGTCTGGGATAATCCAGATCCACCGCCTCCAAGTGGCGTGACCTTGGATAGGTTACATAACCCCTCTTTGCCTCTGTATCCTCATCTGTGAAATGGGAATCATGAAAATGTATACCTCATTGGGTACTTTACACGTGAAGCCCCTGCAGCAGTGTTGAGCCTACTCTCGGTAAAGGTGGGCTCCTGGTTCTGTTCTGTAGCTTTAACACCCCCAGTCTTTCTGATGGGGATGATAGTGAACTTGCTCTGTACACGATGTGGTTCTATGGAATCAGCCATGCATTTTGTGACCCTGCCCTCTGTCTGTCCATCTCCACTGCCTCTCTCCTTAGAGCCTCTCAACCCTCCCCTGGATACATAGTCGGCCGGGTACCCAATCTGCCAGCTTCTAGTCTTGCCCTATTTCAACCCATCTTCCCCTTGGCTTCCATGCTGTTCTCAGTGAAACACAAATCTGATCTGGCACCTCCTCTGCTCAGATCCTCCCCGACTGCTCCTGAGCTGCTGGATAAAGCTCAGCCTCCTTAGTTTGACTTACAAGGTTCTCCTTGGTCTGTCCTCTGCTGACCTATCTGCCTCTCCTCTCCCGTCTCCCCTCCTGCTCCATTTTCAGCAAAATGAACCAACTCCCAGATCTCTGAGCCTCCCCTGACTTTGAGCCTACCTGCCTCGGGCCTGATACCCTGGGGCCTAGCACAGGGCCTGGTGCGCAGCAAGGGGACCGGTAAGCTCTGGTTGATGAATGGGCGGGTGGGATAGTGCATAAAGTGAGTGCTCTGTAAGCCAATGTGACATCCATGTCAGTTCATGGCATTATTTTTTCCAGGGGTCATATTCAAAATCTGTAACCACAACTGTCTGGTCTGCCAGTAGGGTCCTGCAGGCCTCCTGATGGACCAGGCATTAACCCTTTAGTTGATGGATTGTGAGGAGGTTTAGGGGGTCCAGGGGGATAGTGGGGGTGGGGCACAGGCTCCAAGGAGCAGTGCTTTTTTAACAGACCGGTTTGGAAGCATCTCAATATTTTAGCTGTGCCTGTTTCCACAGAAAGCTCCCTCCCCATCCCTGGGCCCTGTTTGCTTCCCTCTCCCTGGCTTCCCCTGGCCCTGTCCCACCCCCAGCCTATCACTATTTGGAGGCTTTTATTTTGAAGCCTGCTCAGGGTCCAGGTGACCCGTTTTTTCCAGAATTTGTCCACAGGGCTTGGAAAAGCTCCCTCCCCACATGGCACTGTGGACACCCATCTGGCCTGGTTCTTTAGCTTAAAGGTCCCTCACCCCGGGGCTGCCCACTCAGGATGAGGGCAGGGAGCTCTTAGCCTGTTCTTCTCATCTTTCCCGGCGCACATGACACAAACAGCAGGGGGTGGCATGGAAAATCATGATTTCACACCCGAGACCTTCATCCAGATCGGTTTGCAAATTGCATTAGCCTTTGAGACAAGAGTTTAGTACCCACATCAAAAAGTGAAGGGTGTTGCTTGCTCCTCAGGTGGCAAGGATGGAGCTCTTGGACTGGACAGGAGCTGGATGACATTGCACTGGCCTCTGGATGTGCCCATGGGTCAGGTAGGATGACTATCTCCAAAGGGTAGACCCCTCTGCTGTGTGTCTTCCTGTTCTTCATGGCCTGTGCTTTCCATCAGGTGGCACTCTGGGCCCCGGGCAATTCATTCTCCAATCCAAGCTACAAGTTCCTCATCTGGGAAAAGAGGCATAATGTAAAGAAAATTTTAAAAAAAAGCACATGGCCGTGTGGAAAAATGGAATGTCTGTCATGCTTCACTCCTGGAGGAGGTGGTAGCGGATGACTTCCTAGTTCAGGAAAATGCCTCGATTAATTTTAGGGTCATTAAAAAGGGGCAGCCTCCTGGGGCAGAGTCTGGATGGAAGATGTTTATGCACACACAAAGGGAGAAACCCCTCTGCAGAGAAAAGGTAGGTCGTTGGTGTCTTCTCCCTTCTGAGCACTTGCTGACATTATAGAGAAAAAATAGAAAAAGCATGATCCCACAAAAACAGGGAATAGAAAGGAGGTATCAAGAAATGAGAGATTGCAATGCACTTTTGGAAGGGGCTTTGTCTGGAATGATGGTGCCATATTTAGAAAGGCCGAAGAGACTCAGCAGGCAGAGGGCACATGGGGAGAAGGAAACAGTGAGCCTCTAGAACCCCAGCAAGGTCCAGATGCAAGGGGAGTGGTGGAGGGGTTGATGGTGTGAGATGAGAGCTGGCGGCCAAGGGCTTACCCTTGAGCCTCCTACAAGAGGTTTACACTCTGGAGATGGCAGAGAGGAAACTCTCAGGACACCAAGGTTGCCGGCATGACAGAAGGCAGGGACAAGACATGGGGCTGAAAGCAGGGTATTTTTTTTTTTAAAGATTTTTTATTTATTGGGCGCCTGGGTGGCTCAGTTGGTTAAGCGACTGCCTTCGGCTCAGGTCATGATCCTGGAGTCCCAGGATCGAGTCCCGCATCGGGCTCCCTGCTCTGCAGGGAGTCTGCTTCTCCCTCTGACCCTCCCCCCTCTCCTGCTCTCTCTCTCTCATTCTCTCTCTCAAATAAATAAATAAAATCTTTAAAAAAAAGATTTTTTATTTATTTATTTGAGAGAGAGAGAGACAAAGATAGCGACAGAGGGCATGAGCGAGAAGAGCAAGCACGAGGTGGGAGGAGAGGGAGAAGCAGGCTCCCTGCTGAGCAGGGAGTTGGATGCGGGGCTCGATCCCAGGACCCTGGGATCATGACCTGAGCTGAAGGCAGATGCTTAACTGACTGAGCCACCCAGGTGCCCCTGAAAACAGGGTATTAATTGGAAGTCCGCATCCCAAATGGCCAGAACATCTTCCTGGTCCTCCCGCTCCCAAGGCACCCTAGCCTGTTCCTACATCCTAAGCAGAGACTGGCAGCTGCCAGACAAGTTACTGGAGAATTTCCTAGAGAAAAAGTCTCATGCCTGCTATCATAATAGGAGTTCCCAACAATATCAGTCTTTTCTGTCCCAACACTGAAATGGACACCTGTCAAGCCATAAGCCTCACCTGCACTTGCAGAGCTTCCGATCAGCCTTTTTAGTACATTTAATATTTAGTGTTAAATGTTCGTGAATAACCCAAGAATATTAGACACATAAGGAAAGCTGCCAATGTGAAACAGACACACCAAACAAAAAAGATAAAAGAAGAGCCTGGAAGAAACTCTGTCCCTCTAGATTGGACTCAAGAATGAATCATCTGGATCAGAATGACTCCAGTCAAGCCACAGATGTATGAGCAAAAAAAAAAAAAAAAACTTGCTATTGTTTTGCACCACTGGAGATTTCTGAGGTTGTTTGTTACACAGCAAAAGCTGACTGATACAATCCATAAACAAGAATAGGAGGCTATGACAACTGAATAATCATAAAACAAGAGAGAGGTCTTGGAAATTTAATATAAGGTAGCCAAAATAGGGATTTCAGTAGCAGATTTGAAAAGTATGTCACAGAAATATTTTCTAGGATATGACAGGAAGAAATGAAGATGGAAAATATGAAGGGGGGCGCCTGGGTGGCTCAGTTGGTTAAGCGACTGCCTTCGGCTCAGGTCATGATCCTGGAGTCCCGGGATCGAGTCCCTCATCGGGCTCCCTGCTCGGCAGGGAGTCTGCTTCTCCCTCTGACCCTCCTCCCTCTCATGCTCTCTGTCTCTCATTCTCTCTGTCTCAAATAAATAAATAAAATCTTTAAAAAAAAAGAAAATATGAAGGGAAGGAACAGGCTTAGAAAAGCAATCCAGGGGGTCTACCATCTGACTTAGAAAATTTTTTAAAAAGACAGAGAGAGAACAGAGAAAATTATCAAGAAGACAATCCAAGAAAACTTCCCCAAACTGAAGATCATGAGTGTCCAGATTGAGTTAGGCCTACCATAGAAATAGTAAAATGAATGAAAAATAATCCACACAACACACATCATCATGTGACCCCAGAAGACCACAGATAAAGTTTCCAAAAGCTTCCAAAGATTTAATACAATGCAACAAAAATAAGAACACCGAATCCTCATTTGCCGTAAGAGGAAACTGAGGCATCATATCTAACAGTCAATCAGTCAAAAATAGCAATATAAGCTTTTTATATAGAAATACAGAGGAATTTAGAGGGAATAATGGAAGGGTTTCAGTAGTTCCCTTGGGGTGGGAAAGAGAGGGTGGGGGCTTTTCGGTCCTCCTCTTCCTTGTCACAAACCAAAGCCTGCGCCTTTTATTCAAACATTGACAAGTCGGGGAACAGAAGTAACAGGTGCAGTCAGAGCTGCTGGGTTGTAAGCGAAGGATCACACAATGGGCAATGCTTTGGGCCCAAAGACGGAGACAGCTAACGAGGGGTTCCTGCAGCAAGAGTGTGCAGAGCTCCTCACCCTTCTGGTCACCCGCCACCTTCCACTCTTCCCTAAAAGTCTATAAGTGTGGTCCGAGGGGAGTGAGGGGAGGGGGGCATGCCACACGTGGGACGCTGCCAGACTCAGGGAGGCCACAGAGGAGAGAAGACCCCTCTTCCTCCTCTTACTAGAGGAAGGGGACTTGTGGGAAGAGTTGGGGTGAAGGTGCTGGAGAAAGTCTCGATCCTGCTATTAAGTGAAATGGGGACAGGGTGACCCATCCCCTCGCCGCTACACTGGTCTGAGTGGTCTGAGCATCAAATGTCATTGTGAGGGGGAAGCACCCTAAGACCTGCATGAAAGCAGCAACTCAGGGATCATTGCTGGGTCCCCGGGGCTGTAGGAGCCCCCTGATAACAACCCCAACTTCCTCGTCTTAAGCACCTACCGTGTGCCAGGCAGACAACACATTTCAATCCTATGATGCCTTTCCAGGGGATGGTAGATAGTCTTTTGGGAGAAACAGGAATTGGCCAAGCAGAGAAGATGTGGGCCTCATGGGGCAACAGCAACCTGCAAAACGGACTTGAGCTGGAAGAGGAGAGGGACGAGGCCAGAGTCAGGCAGGAGCCTGGCTTGGATGACAGCAAGCTGGACTGGTTCTCCGGAGAGCTAGAGGGCTGGAAGCATTGGTTAGTTCTTTCTAGGAAGGGCCTCCTGCAGCCAGTGGGGAAGACAGACTGCAGGGCTGAACTGGGACAGGAAGATCGGGTAGGGCGGCTGCTGGAGCAGCGCAGGCAAGACAGGAGGCTGTAGGGATGGAGCGAGGGGGCACTTGAGGGACATTTGGAGGTGAAACACATTCCTGGGGATTGGCTATATCAGCGAGGGAGGATGAGGAGGCCATGTGACCTGCAGGTCTCTGACTTGGGCAAATGGCGAAGACAGAGGTTGCAGGAGGAAGGGTGCTCTGCAGAGCTGGGGGGCATCTGCGTGCGGTGGGGGCCCGGAGGCAGTTGGACACATGGGCCTGGGGCACCATTCGGGAGCAGCTGGTAATGGGGGCACAGGAGTAGATGAAGCCTGCAGCCAGAGAGAGCATGGGTGTGTGGGGAGGGGACTGAGGAAGTAGATGAAGGAGGAGCCCAGGAACGGGCCCCCAGACTTGGAGGAGGAACTGGGGGAGCAAGCGGGTGTGGAAACTGAAGCAATCGGTGGAGACCAGGGCTGGGGAAGGGCCCCAGGGCGAGGACGGGGTGCGCAGAGGGTGGGAGGTCTCAGGGCCTCGGGGGAGGCATGCCGTGGGGGCTGGGGCTAGAGGGAGCATATTGCCAAAGGGTGAGAGTATGAAGGGCAGTTACAGAATTTCCAGGACCTCCTGTTGCGAAGCTCTCTGGTTCCTGGGTGTGCCGTTCTGGGCTCTGGGGCGCGCTGGGCAATTAGTGCTCATTGTGGGCTGGGACAGAGGAAGCTCTTTCCTGAACCTGGAGGGCAGAGCCCAGAGGAGGCGATGTAGTCTGTGAGCCCACCGCCTGCTTTGCCCCCTTCTTCACGCCCTTCTTCCACGCCCCACACACGGGTCGGTCCCATTCTGGACACTAGAGATTCATAGATGAATGTGGTAGTCCTTGACCCACAGGTGCTCATGGTACACAGTCCTTAGCAGGAAGGGGTGGAAAGTCTAGAAGACTAGCTCTTATGGGTAGGAAGCCCCAACCCAAGAGAGCTAGAGCTAGCGGCCACCCCGCGCCCCCCCCCCCCCCCGCCCCTCCTTCAAAGAGCCATTGACCAGCTTTGCATCTTAGCTGGTGCAGAGAATCCAAAGGCTGAAGAAGGCCCATAGAATCATGGAGGCGGGGGTGGGGAGGTGGGGACAGCAGGAGAACGCACTGAGATGCGCTGAGAGAGGCCCCAGGGACCTATAGGATCCAGATGAGGCAGGAGGGAGGAGGGAGGCGTGCCGTGGGGGCTGGGGCTAGAGGAAATGTGTGCAGGAGCTGCAGGGTGGGGAGGAGGTGGGTAGGGGAAAGGGGTTATGAGAAGTTTGGCATTGCTTTGTACTTACTCCCTGGAGGCAACCCTGATTTTCAAATAGAGCCCCTTGCAGACTTGGGACAGCCTGGAGCCGCGGTTTTTCTGCAGGTTCTATTTTCCCCCATTTGGTGCCTTCAAGGTTCTGATGAGTCCAGGCTGTGCAAACTGCAGCCCGGGGGACCCTCCCCTTCTGGGGCAGAGTTTTAGAGGCAGTGGCATCGTATTAGCATCCAGAGGCAGACGGAGACCCCCAGGGAGGAGGTGACCTTGGGGCGGGGGCTCAGCTTCAGCCCCACCAACGAGTCACCTGCCTGAGCTCTTCACAGATCCTCCTACGCACAGTCTGTGTGAACTGCTACCCGAGAGACTCTTGGCTCTTAACTCTTGTTCAAGGGTCTGCAAACTACGGGCTGAGGGCCACATCTGCTGCCTGGTTTTTATAAATAAAGTTTTATTGGAAGACAGCCACCCCCATTCAATTATTGCTACAGCTGCTTTCAGGCTACAAAGCAGAATCCAGGAGTTGTGACTGAGATCAATGCCCCACAAAGCTTAAAATATTTACTGTTTGGCTTCCTAGAGAAAACGTTTGCCAATCCCTGTTCTAGGGTATCAGGTAGGACACACATTTAGCAGATGTAACCAAGGTCAAAATACCAGTGGCTTGAACCCAGTAAAGATTTCTTTCTCTTTCATGAACAGTTGGAGTGTAAGCCATCTGGGGTTGAGTCAGAGACTCTCTACTTTGTTGTTTAACTGTCCTCCGTCTTCGGCCTCTGCAGCCAGCAGGAAGGGGAACAGGGGAGTGGAGGGCACACCCTCTCTCTTTGAGGGCACAGCCAGGAAGTTGTGTCCACAGATCCCCCCCCCCCCCCCCCCCCCCCGCATCCCACTGGCCAGCCCTTGGTCACGCACCTGTAGCTACCAGGTAGATTGGGAAACGTTACATTTAGCTGGGTGCCCGCAAGTCCACTGCCACTCCGGGACTTTCTCAACAAAGGAAGGTGGCAAGCATGAATTCTAGGGGATTTTAGCAGTTTCTGGTTAAGAAGAACGAAAGCATAGAGTAAGAAAGAGTAAGAATTTGCATCCCCCCTAGGAGTAAAATTTGCAATGCGTGCCAACTGAGCAGCTGTCAGTAGCTAATATAAAATGCCTCTTTCTCCCAGTTCCTTCTGTAAATACTTACTTAGCCCTCAATTATATCAGGCTCTAGCTGGGCGCCTTTTGTAGAGAAAAAAACTGCCGGTCAGAGTGGTTGAGCGAGCTGTCCGAGGGCCCGTCCTTCTGCTCCCAGCATGGGCTCCTCCTGCCTGATGGTCCTGCTTCCCTTGGGACGCCCTAGCCAGGAGCTGGACTTGGGTCCCACCGGGCGGGCTGGGCGTTGGGGAAACAGAAAGTGCGCAAATTATTTTAGCAGTGAGAACTTATATAGGGGATGGGTTGTACAGATCTTGGAGGACTGAAAAGCAAAAGGGGACGCTGAGGTAACCAGATAGAGTACCTGCTTCCTACGGCTGTGGGAACGGAAGGAAGAGAGTGGGGTTGTCGCAACCTAGAAGCTTGGAGGAGGAGCAGATGGAGGGGAGGTTGCTCAGCTGGTGTTGGTGCCTCAGAAGCTTGGAGAAGGGCCCTCAGGGAGCTGGGACTCAGAACTTCAGACCTCCAAGGAAGGGGTGGGGTGAGGCTCATCCTGGGGATGTGGAAAATACTAGAATTGACTTTCAGGGCAGTGCTGTTGGGTATTGGGAGCAAACAGAAGGGAGCAAATGCCTTCCTCCTCTCCATCCTTCTGGTCTCCTGGAAGGAGCTACCATCAGCAGAAGCGAATGGGAATCAGTCTGCCAAGCAGCAATGTGGTCTGGACACCCAACACCAGCTCCCGAGAGCTGAGCATAGAAGGGTAGGTCTGGAGCGGAGAGGAGACAGTTTAATAACCAGCCCAGAGGCTATGACTACATTTAGATGCCCCCCTCCCCCCGTGTTTACTGACCTGGAGCCACAGTGTCCGAGGCAGCGTGGACCTGGAACCTTGGCACATCTGCTTCCTGATACACTGGCTGGTGGGAATGTAAAAGGGTCCAACCACTTTGAAAAACAGTTTTCTTCTAAAGTGAAATACCATAGGATCCAGCACCCTACTCTTAGATCTTTACCCAAGAGCAACAAAACACACATCCACATGAGCCTTTATGCTTGAATGTCTGTCGTAGCTTTGTTTTAATAACCCTAAACTGGAAGCAGCCATAATGTCCATCAGTTTGTGAAAAGATAAGCAACTGTGGTATATCCATATAAGAGACTACTACTCGGTCATAAGAAGGATAAATTACTGATGTACGCATCAACAGCAGTGAATTTCAACAGCCTGATACTGTGTGAAAAAAGCCAGACACAAAAGACCACATACTTTGTGATTCCATTTGTATGAAATTTCAGAAATGACAAAATAGAATAATAGGAAGCAGATCGGTAGTTGCCAGAGCCTCGGGCAGGGCAGGGAGGTCGGAGGCAAGGGGCACAAGGGATCTTTTTGGGATCATGGAAATGACCTATATTGTGACATGGTTGGTTACATAATTGTCAAGACCCATTGACCTGTGTGCTTTAAGTCAGTGAGTTTTATCGTATGCAAACGACACTTGATAAAGCTGATTTTTAAAAATCGAATCAGAAAGCTGTTAGTAGGGGGCGCTTAGTCTACTTACGTCCAATGCCACCTCCTGTGAGCTACCGTCCATGCGGCAAAGGGATCTTTAAAAAACGTTAATCAGATTACATCACTCTTTATTTAAGCACTGTGATGGATTCTCTTTCCTCTTTGAATGAATTCCAGAGGATTACTGTCCCTCGATCCTGCTCACTGACCCCAACACTTGCAGGGATAGGAGCCATAGTGCCAACAGAAACCCAGGCACTGGGTATCTACACACATGAAGTTGTAGATCAAGCCAACCGACTGCTACTAAAACAAGTTCTGTCCTACCTTGTCAGGCAGACCTTCGTGAAAAGCTGGAAGGCCAGGTTCAAATTGAGAATTCTGGGAGTCCTTTGAGTTCTGTGCTGGAAGGTGATGGCGTGGGGAGACAGACGCTAAGCTATGGGCTCCCCGCCCCTTGCCTTTCCACCCTGGCTCCATCTGAACCTGTGAGGACACCGGCCAGGCCTCTGGAGAAATTTGTGTCTGTGACCCCCTGGGGGCATGGAACCGGGGAAACTGGATTCTTCTGTATCTCCAGGCCTCTCCAGGAACTGTACTTTGTTCTGTATGATGTGTGTATGCGTGCATGTGTGCATATGTGGACATGCGTGTACACGCATGCCTCTGTGTTTATACCTGCGTGTGTTTGCACACCGCGAGTGTGCCCGTGTGTATGCATGCCTGCATGTTTATGTGTGTATTTCAACAGCAGGGGGAGCTCGTTGAGGGCAGCAACTGTGCCAGATTCCGGTCTGTATCCTTTATACCTCTGCAGAGGGGATGCTAAATGAATGCTTGTGGAATGAATAGATGAAAGAATGGGGGCCGGTCTAGCACAGTTACTGTGTTTTGGAGTCATCCAGATTTGAGGTCAAAATCTGACCTTACTAAGTCACTTTGCTTCAGGCTCCTGATCCCGTAGAGACTCAGTTTCCTCATCTCCAGACCAGGAATAAAAATAGGACCTATTTTATCAGGGTAGGTGTGAGGATTAAGTGGCAATAATCGGAGCTGACATGTACTGAGCTGGACTTTGGGCCAGGCACTGTTCCAAGATTTTGCAAGGGCTAACTCATATACTCCTGCAATTTTATGGTGGAGGGATGGTGAAACCATAAACTCAGTGCATCTCGGTGCCTATTTCTGATCAGTGGAGAGGAGGTTCAGGGTCCTTAGCCTCTGGGGGCATCTTCTCACGAGTCCCGCTCAGATTTGGACCTACGGGCCCTTCTGGGGAGGACAGTGGGATCCAGCACGCAGGACTCCTCCGGGGCTAGCCCACAATTTGACCCTCTCGTGGGGCTGTTCCTTCTACTGCGGCTCAGGACATTTCTCCTCTAGGTGGCGCTGCAGAGCGAGAACCGGGATGTTGAGTTGCGGCGCCCCCTGGTGGTCTGTTTCCGTCAACACATTGATTAAGTGCAAAGCCATTTCCATAGACAAGTGCGGCAAGAATGGGTTAGAGGAATGTGGGAAAATTAGAATCTAATGTGATCAGTTTTAAGACACAGAGAAGCAAAGTGCACATGGGGAGATAGATCAGGAGGGGTCCAATCCATACCAAGAAAATCATCCTCAATAACAACAACATTAACATTTGTAATTTACTGACCACCTTCCGCGTGTGGGTGTTGTACTAAGCACTTGGCATTCATCATCCTATTTAACCCGCCTCCAGAAAGTATGCATCCCAAGGACAATTACTTTTATCTGGAGCCGGGCACACGCTGGATGTCTGGCATGTAGTAGGTCCTCGTTACATTTTGAAACAACGAGCAATGCATTAATCCTAGGAAGCAAATATTATCATCTCCACTTAGGAAAATGAACAAGAAAAATGAACTTCGGTCAGCCACATGCCAGAGCCAGGGCACCTGAGTTCCGCACCCAGCTCTGCTGGAAGCCGGGGCGCCAAAGAGAAGGCAGAGCCTTCTGCCTTCAGAGAGTTTGCTGTCCGATTGGCTTCATCCACACCCTCCGTCTCCAAATTCCACTCCCTGGGGATTGCCAGGGGTGGCTATTTATGGCTCAGGGAGGAGGTCCAGTGAAGCTCCCCTCATAAATTACAAGGAGAGACACATGTGGGTCAAGATTGGGGACTTCAGTGCATGAGGGATCCCCAGGAATCTTGCTCAGCCTAATCTGGGATTTTCCTCTCCTTCCCTAGGAGAGCTGATGACTCAGGCAGCAGGCATTTGCTGAGCTCCCCTAAGGAGCTCCTGGGGCATCATCACCTGGTCCTGCCTCTTCCCCAGCCCCTGTCTGCCACTGTGCCCTATTTCCCGCGGCTGGAGCCCTCGGAACCGCCGGCTCCTCGGAGGCCGTGTTCCTCATCTCTAAACCAAGGGCCGCGCTTTAGCTCGGATACGCCAGCACCCGAATCAGGGTCGAAGAGTGCTGTGCATGTTGTGAGTTTTAGAGCCAGGCCTCAATCCCATCCAGTCCTCTGGGAATTCCTCGGGTGTGGTCTGAGCACATGGAACCCTGCCTTGCAGATGTGGCTATGAACAGACATATGAATTGCATTCCGTAATGCAGCGATGCCCCTTCTCAGAGCAGCCCCTGCCTTTGGTTGTTGACTTCTTGTACCTGCTTTCTTTCGGCATTCCATCCTCCTTGTCACTGTCAGACTGTCACTTAACTGTCATTTGCTTCCAACCCCTCCCCCGCCCCCCAGCGATTTTCCTCCAGATTCAAATCTCCGGGGTTGTTAGATTTGGGTACGCTCTCAAAGTAACCTGGGGAAGGGAAGGCCAGAGGTGCTTTCTTCTAGGAATAAAATATCTGAGCTCCAGTGCCTGGGCAGGGGAGCTACCCATCCACTGTTCAATGACTTGTTTACTCCCAGGCTGTGGCCAGTGGAGGTTATCAGATGAGCTCTTGATAAGCCAGAGGTCACTCCAGGCATTTCTTTGTACCTCCCCAGAAAGGCTCGAGAAACACTGGCTTAATGAAATGTGTGAAGAGCTTGGCTCCTTTTCCTGGCTAGTCTTCTGCCTCATTCTCCACCCCTGCAGTAGCAGCAGGACGGGTGGCCACTGCTGACAGAGTGTCTGGTCTCGAATTACACCGTATCAGAGCTCGGACATAAAATTAGCAGCAGTGTTCTGTATGAGGAGCTAGAGAAATACCCATATTCAGCAGAACCACGGGCAGGGAGGGAAGAGCTGGCCCCCCACAGGCCCTGGGGCCCTTCCCTGGACAATCTTCCCATCCCCGCAGCCCTCCCCTCCACTGCGGAGGCGGCGATGGCTGCCCGGTGGCTGAGTCAGGGCCACACACAGGAGGCTTCTTGGGGGGTGGGGGGGAGGGAGTGGGGGATGGGAAGGCAAGACCTTGAGAAATCTGGGAAGGTGAACTTGAGGGCTTGTCGTCCCTGAAACACACACACACGCACACACTGAAAACTATGACCAAGAATAAGAAATTCCCATGTGTCTAGGCACTTTTCATACATTTTTCTCATTAATTCCCAACACCACCCATTCAGTAAGACTGTTTTACGATCGGTAAAGAAAGGATCAAAAAGGACATACTGGTTGCCCGAGTTCATACGTTATAAATGCATTTGTGTTCATGCTCATGATGTGCCCACTTAGATCCCAGCGCGTAAACCTGGCCTCTCATACTCACAGTCTCACTGCTGTGCACTATGCTGCGTGCTCTCGCGTGGACGCAACCTAAACACACTCACACGTCCCTACACAGAGTTGTATGTGTTTATATCCACATTTATGCGCAACTATATGTGTTGCTAACCATACACATACGATGATACACACAATCACATGACAAGTGCTGTGTCACACTTCCTGGCTAAAATTGTCACTTCCTGTCTTTCCTGACCAACTCTAGGGCTGCATTGACCTCGGCCATGGCTGGGTGCTTGCAGCTCTTGGTGCCATGTCTGTCCCTTCACCCTGTCCTTTGACTCTGCATTTAATTGCTTTATACTGTAGACCAGGAGCCCTGAGACACCAGTGACTGGGTTG